GTTAAAATACCCTACGTATTAACTTTACAATTCATATATTTGTAACAACAACTAACTTTTATGGATTACCTTGACTAATGAAGCCATGTTTTGGTTTGGTCACCATTCGCTCTTCTCCAACCTGATCCTATTTCGTGAGCTAAAATTGCCCATTGTTGAGGAAGGCCATGGCTAGGCATGCATAGTACATGTCCTAACCATCTCAATCGGTACAGCTGCTTCACAACCTAATCGATTGATTTCTCCTCCAACTCACTGGATGGGTGTATAACCTCACTGTTGCTCACCCTATTACACCACTTCACACGAGAGATAGAACGCAGACACCTATAACCAGAGACAGCTTGCCTTTTCATGTCTTCCACTTTCAATGGCCATGTCTGCCCGACAGAGAGCCATACAGGAGGACAGAGCGAACTGCTACTGTGCAGTACACACGTCTTTTGGTCCACAGCCAGTCTACTAAACCAGAAATGGCGTTAGTTGGTGGACATATGCCAAACGAGCCTTCTGTATCCGTACTGAGATTTCGTCAGCGAACAACCCGCGTTTGGACTAGGTGATGCAACTTTCCAAATAAGTGAAGTGGTCAATACACTGTATCGCTTCACCCACTCCTTATCTTTAAGCTTGAAGTCAATGTAGTTCAGTCCTATACCTAACATCTGACAGAGGCGAATCGCATGTCAAACATTCGAAGACTGCTGCTCCTCAAAGAGCTTAGAAGAGTTCTGTACAAAGTTCTACGTTGAAAATTCAGTTCATTCCATGAAAAGTTATGCCCTATACAGCCACCTTTCTGTAGGCCTTAACACTTGGATCCCTGTCAGCAGACTCTATCTGTATCAACCTTTAGGAGACAGTAAGCAGTATCACTATGCAGTAAGTGTTGGACTAGCAAATCTCTAAAGACTGCAAAATATGGGAACCAGGTGAACTGTCCGCGCTAGACACGAAAATACATTGAAGAAAGGAATTCTCTAGTGTATACACAAGCTTTTACATTTGAAACCAGATAAAAAAAATAGCTTTGAACAATAAACTGGTTTCTAGTATCCATAGCTTTCTTTACATACGCTACTATGATTTTCTTTACCTTTCATAGATACATTAGAAGTGAAAATAGGGAAATCAAATACAACACATCTGTAATATATCTCAGCCGGTTGCAATAGTCGTTGAATTGAAACTATGCAGATCCATCGAGTAATGCAAGCATTTCCAAGTTTGACCACGGATTGACCGTCAGCTGGGAGTACTGGACAGCTGCTTCGTCAGCCTAGTTTGGGACTCACCGGCAGTAGGCACTCACTGCCAGGGTTCAGACCCAGGACCTTCTGGTTACAAGGCAAGCTCGTTGACGACCATACATGCAGCCACTGGGACCCAAGTCACCGGTTAGCCCATGATTTCTAACTCCCACTAATTTGTGATTTTAGTGCGATTAGCACCAGCCAATGCCATCGATGGTGAGCATTAGTCCTCACTCCGGGCAGGATGGACTCCACTGGTCACGACTTCTCGCTAGAACCTCCGTCCTGTAACTAGTCACTAGCGATAACATTGGCTGGTGCCGGTCGCGATAAAATCATGAGTTAGTAGAAGTAAGAATTCATGGGCTGATCGTTGAGTCGGGTCCCAGTGGCTGAATGAATGGTCGTCAACGAGCTTGCCTTGTAACCGGAAGGTTTTGGGTGCTTCCGATGAGTGCCAAACTAGTACTCCCAGCTAGTCCTCTAGTTGATATCACTCTGTGGTCAAACTTGAAAAACAAATCAACTCTGGAAAATGTAAGTATTTACATATTAGTTATTTTTACGAAGCTTCTACAAAACTGGAGATTATTATAGACACGCAGTTTCGTATATACACGTAGGAGCATGAATATACAATTTATTTCTGATTTAGAAAATAGACCAAAAACTTTACTTTACGTTAAGGAAGTGATAAGAAAAAATTATGCTTTAATACAAGCCTGATAGTTTTCGCTATTCCCCCAAGATAGACTAATTAATTATATATGAATACCACCGATAAGAAGACTCTAGAACATCTGGATTTCGCAGATGATATATGACTAGTGTCAGACAAACTCGAAGACTTAGAGGCAGGCGAAAACCAACAAACTGGCAGAAGAACCTGGCTGGCAGCGAAGACAGGACTCCAGGTGAACATAGAGAAGACGGAGGTGGTGAAGATAACCGACGAACCGCAACAGCACCAATCACCATCAACGGGAGAGATTTAACAGAGGTTACCGCCTTCACTTATCTAGGAAGCATCGTTTCAACTCGAGATGGAACGGATACAGATGTCAAAACCAGCCAGAATCGAATAGGCAAGATACGCCTTCATCAACGAACCTGAAACCAATTTGGAAATCTTCTGCACTCTGCATCACAAAGAACAAGATTCGCATCTTCAACACCAATGTAAGCCGTTTCTACTATACAGGTCAGAAACTTGCACTGCATTTCATGAAAAGGATTTCCAACAGGTTGCAGACTTTTATCATTAGGTGCCTTCACTGCATACTGAAGATCGAATGGCCAGGAAGAATTAGTAACAAGAAACTCCAGCAAAAAACCAACCAAGAGCCGATCGTCCAAAAAATACTTGGGAGAATAAGGAGATGAATCGGGCATACACTCCGGAAACCATCGAATGACATCGCGTGCCAGCCAGACAATCGCTCGAAGGTAATCCGAACAGGAAGCGACAGTGGGCCGTCAGTGTGAGGGTGACATGGAGATCGTGTGGCGAGGAAGAGATGAGAGATGATAGGCAATCGTGGACCCAGCTGAAGGGGATGGCAGGAAATTGAAAGTGGAGATGTATGGTTCAAGCCCTATGTCCCACTCGGAAACCAAGGGAATATCAATATTAATATAGGCAAATTAGAATTTAGTAACTGTTATTCCTAAACGTATTGTCGACTCGATCTTCTTTTAGACTATTATATGAGCACATATGCTTCTATATATCTTAATGCAACGAAAACATGGCACTACTTCAACCACAATCATCACACTTCCATAGAACTGTATAGTTGTTACATGTATGATGTCACGGACCCCAGATACTTATTATCTAATCGCCCACCCACCCCCCAATACACCACAACTTTAAATTTCGGAATAGGTAAAAGATAAGTTTTGCCAACAATTTTGTAGTTTGCTGCCCAGAAAGCAAAGCACTAAAATACAATCATTTCAGCTAATCTCAATCCTCAAATAGGAAAGCTGTGCTAGTTAGATAAGTCAGTGTGACACTTGTGGAGTACTATACCAACGAAGTGACAGTTGTGTTCAGATAGTCATCTGTTCCTCGTTGTGACTAACTTCAAATATAAGAAGAGACATTGTCTCACTTGGTAGCCTTCATCATTAAGTCAACTATACACTACATATGGCTGTAGACTGTGGTTGGAGAGGGTCTTTGGAGAATTCCTTCTCATTCTGGTTAGGTAAACAGGAAAAGTGACTCGACGAGATTGTGAAGTTGCATCGAACGAGATGGCCAGGACAGACTTTGCACATGCAAAACCAGTCATTCCTATCTGGAGATGTTCACTGATTTCAGCTAGATTAAAACCCCGGGAATTGTTTCTACTATCGCAAAATCCATTATGATCCACCAGGACTAATGTACAAATATCTACGTAGAATACGCAACTTGGCATCCCACCTATGACTAGCTAGATATTTCCATCATTCACACACGAGGAAATAATAAGCTAGCTTATGTCAAAATCCCCACCTAGAATTTCACTGTAAATTGAATCTCTGCCTCCTTTGATAATGCGACATGAGTAACTTATCCGTAACATTCAAAGATGCGTGAAGCCCATGAATACCACTAAACACATGTGACTCGATGAATATTTGCAAAAACGTGATCTGTCCCACTGTTTCCTTCAGTCGTAAGTACTCCTATACAAATATTCCTCGCTGCACGTCACTCATGCAACCTTCTGAAACACCTCTAATACTATAACCAGCCTGAATGCTGAACTCCAACCATCGTGTTGTGAAGATAGTATATGTCGACAACTGTTTTCCTGCACATACAGTTGCAAATAACAACACGTCTAGGCATACCCGCGACTCCTAATGACGCTCAAACTGTTCACTTCACAACAAAAAACTGGTCAGTAAGTAACCAATTAAGACCACACTTAAGGGAGAAAGCCCTGACGAGACTCAATCAATTGTAACCAAGTACACACATCGCAGCACTGTCAGAAGCCACCTGCTCCCTTGAATTTTTAGAATACTGAGTTCGCTGTGAAATGTCTATCGACCCATTTGAAATATGTCTTACATCTACCAAGACATCTTTCACCATCACGCATAACCGTAATTAGACTAGCACTGAGCATTATTCCTACTCAATCTCGTTTCATCTTATCTCCCTGTACCAAAGCGAGATCAATATCTACGGACAATGAGCCTAGACACGAGTCATGAGGACCAATTCGCATACCTTATACTACTAAATTGCACCATGTAACATTCCACTCACCATACAGCTTTTATGTAATGACCAGCGCAGCCACAACAAGAATGTTAGCGCTTTAAATTCGGAGATGAATTCTGACGCCATTATGTACGTATATGAAGATTTGACTAGGGACTACACGCAGACTTGAAACCAAACACTACTCGTATCACCAAAGCTCTCTGGCGATCTCCGGCACCATCTAGTTCAAGCGGTTTGATATCATGTTGAGACGCAGGAAAATATACACACATCAATCAACTTGTTAGGAACATGTCTTCACCCAACCAATAATTATGGAAGGCATACATTAGGCGTTCATTTATCTCACGCTGACCTCACTCTACAGCAAGACAGTCTCCCTGGTCATATAACAAAAAACGCGTATGCCACCAAGCGACTCATCACAACACACCGCTGAACTTTTGGTCCCACAGACGCGAAATGGGTATCGCTAGTGTCTTGAACGCACGTGGCAGTCCCCAAAAAACGACAAGGTGTCCAATTATCAAACTTTATTTAATAAATTCTGTAAGGCTTTCCCATTGTGCTTTTGATGTACAGACACCGAACGTTCTGCCAGTTCTTCTTCAAAAGCGATACCAGGAAGTTGATCGACAAGTTGATGTTTTGTGCCAACTCAGCCGCAGTCATATTCACGTGGCCAACAGCAACATTTAGGCAGATAACCTTTTTCATCTGAAACTTCACTGTGGACTTCACTTCGTCAATCTTTTGGGCCAACGGCTCATTGTGCGAGACAACAATAGGGAACCTGCCGTATTTGCTCAAGATCGGACCTATGACCCTGGTGAATTGACGAATTATAGACTCGCTCCCAAGGAAAGCGTGGTAGCTCTTAGCTGCAAACATTAGTGGAAATACTAAGCTTACCTAGCTTTTTCAAAGGCTTCTTCTCTTTGCCGAACTTTTTCAAGTCCTCAGCGTCCATGCAAGGGATATTTGCATTCTTAGCCTCATCACAGTGCTCCTGATCTCCAAGCACACACACAGTCATCTTAGGACGCGGGATGTGCTTCAATCTATAAACACATACAACTTACAATGTACGGCCAGTGGCCTCCCCACAAAATATTAGAACCCTGGGTTGGGGTTCGCAAACTCACCGTACAGTCCCAGCGAACCTCTTATCCTTTTGCGGGTCATAATTCTTCAGAGCGATCTGCAATTCCACTGTCTCGGTGAACTTCCGCTTTTTGGTCTTATTGCTATACTCCAAAAGGTCAGCACACGACCTAAGCAGAAGTTCCTTTGGTACCTTACTGAACGAAAAGAACAACACTTAGTCTTTTGCAATGAAAAAGTTAATGTCAGAACTTCTTAGAGGTAAGTGATCATGAATCTCCGAGAATTTGTCATCATAAAACTGTCACCACGTACTCACCTCATGCTCACGCTCTAGGAAACTGCAACCGCCAAGTGATGGCCCCAGACAACTTAAACAAAAGTACACGACTAAACAACCTAGTTGTTCAATCTACAAGTATACATTTGCGTCCCATGTCACACACGAAAAACAGACTGTAATGCGAAATCCTCATGTCTGTGTCTAATTCTCATCAATGCCTTAACAGACAATATGAAAACTCAAATTCATACATTGGTAACCATGACCAATATCTTTCTAAGGAACGAAGAATGTTATTTCGCTCTCTATAAATTCCTTGATCGCTTTCGTTTTGAGGAAAGGTTCAGAGAGCTCCTGAATGTGCAGACCCAAATATATCTTGTGTTAATCATCCCTGTGAAAATGTTGTTTTACATTATGACTTCAATTTCCGATCCGAAATGCTTCCTCCGTTTCCAGTGAAAACTTGATGGGATCTAACAAGTTACGGGCAACACAATGCATAGTAAGGAAACTTCTCTTACTCACTCCGTAACACTTAGACGAAGGGTGTGCAAGTGCTTACAGAATCTGGATGAATTCTGTAGCCGTCTATCTCACCGGCAGTTTATCTATGCGGTGGTATGCATTATTATTATTTATTATTGTATCCTTTAATTCCTACAGGAACATAGGGCTTCAGCCGTGCGTCTCCATTGCGTTCTGTTCTCTGCTAGAGTCTTCACCTGGTATGTCATTCCTCAAAATTACTAGCCCACAGCATTCGTCACTCAACAGTGGATACTGACCATCAATTTTTAAGTCGACTCGCTTAGCTGAAGGCCCACCGTCAGGCATCCACGCCACTTGGCAGGCTGTCGTGTTATGTTCTGCTATTCGTCCGTGATCACTATCAAGTTTAGCAACCCCCTCGCACTTCGGTTTGGGTCCCAAAATATACTTCGTATCCTGGACGATCAATTCGGTGTTTTGATTTTCCTTGAGTCTACACGGAACAAATACTATCTCTTCGGCGGTTTGTCTTTGCATACGCAGACCCAATTTGACTAAGTTTTTCAAATTTGGTGCTTATCGTGAATCTTTCAGTTGACTGCTTGCACTCCCAACAAAACCTATATGATTCCCTTCCATGGACGGGTTTCTTTTATTCACTAAGAAACATCTAGTTATCAAAACTTATCCAGATAGCAGAAGATACCTACGTGCTATGTCCTTAATAGATCGTGTTCCTCAATACTCTGTTTTGGCAGTATGTTACGGACATCCAACCATATTATAATTAGCCAGACTGTCTTTTTCACTCAAGAGTGCACTTACCATAAATTATCTTAATTAACTGCCCATAAAAGGTAAGGATGAGTATTTAGTTTGAAAAAGTGACTACTGTTAACTGATCGTTTGAAGTGAATGACACTCAGAATAAGTTCAGCTGTAGTAATAGGTAAGGCAGCAAGTCACACTGCCAGAAGAATGTGGTTGTACTGGATAGGGAACTAAGCTTGAAACGCTCTACCTGGCATTGATTTAGGAGGATGTGGAGAAACTTTGGGGTACATTTTGGGTGCACTGCAATCGCTTTGGGGATATGAAAATTAGGTTGCATCGTCAAAGTTGGGTGCCTTGTATTAACTTTCAGAGGCAACCGATATTTCGGCGACATACGCATGACATCGAAGTTTTCGAACTTACCTCAACTTTAAAACGGCCGACTGTATGTGATATGATATGATATGTGCATTCCTCTCACAACGTAAAGTTAAAAGGAAAGTTAAATTTGTGTGAATTCGCAAAACCTTAAAGCACACAGCAGAAACATTTGGTCAATGACACATGCGTTCATTAGCTGCAGATGAACGAATAAGAGTTGATCTTGCCTGACTGCATTAAACGGATGCTTACGCAATCATTATTAAGATTTGGAATAAAACAATAATTCCCTGATAATTGCTTTTAATTAAAATTATCCTTGCAATCCTCAGTTTGTCATACTTTTACTTTCCAAAAGCTGTCTTTCAATGCATTGGTGTGCATGTCCTAGAATAATTCAATTGAATTCACACTTTCTATTCGTACCTTGGTAAATGGTGAAGGCAAGTGCTGTAACTCTGGTTTTTCAGTTGCCTTAACGGTTGACTGTTACCTTTTATGTGTCTATTATGGATTCCCACAGTATTACTAACTTTAATGATCATGTTAGTTTTAATTATGAGCATGTATAAACACAAGGTATCTATTTGTTCACAGAATTACCATGTGCATTCTCAGCTAACATTATAAGTTTTAACAGTTCTGTCAACGAATACTAACCCCCCCTGGCCGAAATAAGTAAAGACAAACCAGCAACTTGCGTCAGACAGAACTGGCCTAAGTTAATGAGGCCACGTAATCGCAATTAGCTGCCATTCCCTAAGATGGGCTAAAGCTGACCTTGACCTAAGAAGAAACAATTCCACATTCTCTCGAAGATTAGGAAAATATAATCTGCAGTTTAAGCGGTATTTAGAATTCATGCGCACCATCTTGTAGCAATGTAAGCAGATTCTCTTGTGAATCCCCATCAAGCACTAGCAGTCCAAGAGGTGACTTCAACGAGCGACATGTGTATTTTCCACGTGTGTTATCTTTCCAGTGAACGTGACGGCATGGAGTCTCCACAGTCAACAGATGATCCGTCTTCGACATCTGCGAATGCTAATGACAGGAAATAGAATACTGCACTGGATGCAATCAGCAAAATTGTCTACAGATTTAACCTGAGTGTGATCAATACATGTCCCCTGGCAGAAGAGAGGAGGCACGTGATTCCCGACCTATCAACTAACCCTCAGACATTGATGAGGATTAAAGATGTTTTCAAATGGCGAGAACTTGGTCCCGCGACGTAAGCTCACACTGGCCTTCGTCGCCAAATAGAATTATGGTCAAGGAGGAAGTCCTAATGATAGTGCTCAACTTTTCAATAACTCCGACATATGGATGCGGCCTACTCAAGGCGAGCTGTCGCTGTCTGAATATGGTAAAGGATTTATCTTTGAGTTTTTATTTGTACTTTATGTGACAACTGGCTGAATGTCACCTCATTCGATAGCCTGCTGGATTCTGCACGGTGTTGCGACGTTCTTCCATAGTTCTCTCCTTCGACTGCTTTTCCCAGTGCCCCAGAGCATATTTTTACTTTTCTGAACTCATCAACTGACAGATTACTTATATCTGATCATAAGTAACACTCACCACAATACAATTGTAGAATTACAACTGACTCACAATAAGGGCCTCATCTTAATCAACGGCAACCACATACACGTAGTACCAACCAGACATCCCATTTAATATTATTTCAATTTTTACGAGTTGATCAAGGACTGATATCAGTTAGAGAACCATTGAAAACCAGGAAGTACTGGACAGCTGCTGTTTCATCCTAGTTTGGGAATCATCGGCAGTACGCACCCACTGGGATTCGAATCCAGGACCTTCCGGTTACAAGGCAAGCTCGTATACCATTCAACCACTGGGACCCGCTTCAATGGCTCATGAATTCTAACTTCTAGCAATTCGAAACAGCAGCTGTCCAGTACTCCCTGGTTGGTTTTCAATGGCTCTCTAACTGATATCAGTCCGTGATCAACTCGTAAAACATAACTAATCCTTACAAACCAAACTATAGAAAATTATTTCAATTCACTCAAAAATTTCTTTCTTTAAAACACACAGTCACTTCACTACCTTCCTCTGACTGACAGTTCCAAGTTCACTGGTGCATTCGTGCCTATCGGGTGCCTAGAGTTTGACTGCATCGTCAGTTAACACACTGTTTTCTCAGTAGCATTCATCGATATTTTACTTCATATTTCGTGTCGGTGGTTCAACGATGGATTGCTCATCAACCATGCACACGGTCCGAAGTTCGATTCTTGGTTGATGCACACTTTTACCTCACATGGCTGTTTGAAAGAATGATAGTGACGAAATTTGTGTTAGTGTGAGGCTAGTAACGCCCCATTCCGTGAAAAGACACCACTGCTACTGACACTGGAACTTCAAGTCCTATGTTCTTCCACTAGGAACACACAGGAATAACAAAAGTCGACTTCACACTTTACGTATGCATTCTACTAAAACTAATACTTAGCAACCGATTGGTTTGCAAACAGTTGACAAAGAACCACACATACTCTATGAGAACTTATGGTTATACCTGGCTGTTTAAACGTCGACAGCCAGGACCGGTGGTCAGCCACAGATCTACCATTCCCAGAATAGTTCATCCATATTTTATAATTCTCCTTCAAAATTACACAGAAACCTAATTCTAATCACCTGGTCGTAAGGTGCTAACACTTCGTGGGGATTTTCCAAAATCATGATCTCTAGGATCAGCCATCGAATCACACAGGTAAAATCAACTGCTCACTACTGACAATGAATTGTTGTGGCAAAATATGATATCGCGAATATTACCAGAGATTGGAAGTGAATTAGCGCTAGAGGAACTGTCGGGTGGGATCCCGATAGCAAACAGTGAATTGAAAGTCCCTTCGAGGGTGACATGGGGGAGACTATGTCAGGAGGTGGAAATGAAAGCTCATCAGCAATCGTGGAGCCAGTCAAACAAAGGACTTTACAAAGGAGAGTGGAATGGATATATGCTGCTGAAGCCCCATTTTCCACTCGGAATTCAAGGGAATAATAATAATTATACTAAAAATTTTCAGTTTGCCAGTATTATTAACATTAAAGAAGTAAAACATTAACAGTGAAAGCCAACATACAAATTACCAAAATCATGAAGATTGTTCACACAATGTCTAAGCTAAGATTTATTTCTTAAACCATCAAACCATCGGAGGTGATTTGAACACACCTATTTAAACACGTTTAACCTTATTATGAGAAAGAAATTCACGTCTCACTTTAGAAAAAGTGAGCTAATATCACAGTTACCTTGATTGATGCATACATGTGAACCGTTTGTTTGATCAGATAGATTATTATTAGTATTATTATTAGTATTATTGTTATTTGGAGTGTTGATTTCACCTTTGAAACGACTTCCATAACCATACATCACTTGAGGGAAGTTTGTCGAATTGGTACTCG